CTCTGGATTTCTGGGGGTGTCTCTGACCGGATTTGCTAGGTCTCTGATAGGTTTTTGGGGAGGGGAATCCGACAGGATTTTTGGTGGGTTTGAGAAGATTTCTGGGGCTCTCTGACAGAACTTTTGGGGTCTCTGATAGGATTTGGGGAGGGAGTCTAATAGGATTTTAGGGGGGGTCTCTGACAGGCTCTGAGGGAGAAGTCTGACAGAACTTCTAGAAGATTCTGAGAAGATTTCCGGGGTCATTTATACGATTTCCTGGTGGGTTCCTTTCAGTATTTCTGAGGGTATTTGGTCGGGATTTCAAGAAGAATTTTAGCAAGATTTGGAAGGCCCTGATATTGGGGACTCTCCTCTACGACTTGGGGGCTTTGCCAGGACTGCGGGCGGGGCTCTGACAGAGCTTCTCTGGGGAACCTCGCTGCAGCCAGGGCCAGGGCTCACCTGAGGCCACGTCCCAGTCTCGGGACACAAACGAGACCGACGAACAAACAACGGCAGTTACGTGGAGAGCAGGTGCGCGTGCGCCGTTCCCGCCAGAAAAAGCAAAGAGGGCGGGGCGGGGCCGAGAGCTCGCGTGTCGCCCAAACCCCGTCCCCCCGGGTTCCTCCCCCGACGCAGGCGCACACCGGCGGAAGGCGCGCGCCGGTCTAGTCGGTTACCTGCAACAGTGAGGCTGCGCATGCGTCTGGCTGCCCGGGCGCGATCCCAGCCTGGTGGAGCGGACGCATGCGCGTTGGCCGAGCGGGTGACTGCCGGAGAGATTATGGCTGGGAGGGAGGGTTGATGGCGACTTCTACGCTGGGGTCTTCTGTGCGGCCTCAAATTTCGGTGAAATGGGCCCAAGCAAGGGAGAGTTGGACTGAGGGACTCCTTGTCCATCCCTCCCTTCTTATCAGCCACCAAGCCGTGCCCTTTCTGCCCTCTGTTCCGTGCCAGGCTGCCCGTCACCGTCACAATGATTTGCTGCCTCACCACTCCCGCGCCCTTTTGTGGCTCTAGTCACAATGTATTAACAGGTCCCCGAAAGATTCTTTCCCAAACCGTTTCATTCATTCCTTTTAGGAGAGAGTGGGGAAAAAATATTCTCAGCTTTTCTGGCTGGAGAGAGGAAGAGAATTACATCTAACATTGACTCCCAAAAAGGGGGATTTGAGACAAAAGATGTCTCACCCACTCGGCCTCTCTGCTAGCCCAGATACAGAAAAATAATCCTTTTGCATCCTCTTGTTCATCCAGCCATCATTTATTCAGCTGTCACTTCCTCAGAGAGACCTTCCCCTGCCGCGGTGTCTACACTAGGCCTCCATCTTAGTATCCACTTAAGTGTGTTTTTAGTGGTCCTCATGGCCCGTCTCACCATGTGACACTCTGTATTTGTGTACTGTCTGTCACCCTCACTGCAAGGTGAGCTATATGCAGCAGGAGACTGTTTTGGGGCTAGAACATGCCTAGTCCAGTGTGGACACAAAAAAAATGAGCTGAGGGGGACGGCCCCGTTGCGTGGCGGTTAAGTGCGGGCGCTCCGCTGCTGGGGACCCGGGTTCGGATCCCGGGCGCGCACCGAGCGCCACTTGTCAGGCCGTGCTGTGGCAGCATCCCATATAGAGTGGAGGAGAATGGGGACCAATGCCAGCCCGGGACCAGTCTTCCTCAGCAAAAAGAAAGAGGAGGATTGGCATGGATGTTAGCTCAGGGCTGATCTTCCTCATGCGCACACACAAAAATGAGCTGAATGAATGAGTGAATGAATGGACAGAATCCATGTCTCTTAACTACTGGGCAGTATAGAGTGATGATAAGGCTGTGGGCCTGGAGTCAGACATTTGTGGGTTTGAATTTTGCCTCCATCACTTCCTAGCTGCAACCTTGCCACAATGGCTTACACTCTCTGAGCCTCAGTTTTCCTCCCAGAAATGAAGACAATAATTGCTTCTTATGTTACCTTGAGGGCTTAAGGTGGTAATCCTTGTTAATTGACAGTTATTATTTTGGCTATTAGATGGTGGCTTGTTATTAGGCCTGGGAAAGAACCTGTTTGGTGGGTGATGTGGTGAGCGGTTAAAAGTGTGAGATATGGAATCAGACAAAGGTAGTGCCATTGCTGTGTGCCCTTGGCAAGTGACTTCACCTCTCTGAACCTTAGCTTCTCTAAAATGGGGACAAATAATATCCACCTCATCGGGTCTTATGGGAGTTCAGTAAGAATGTTTACCAACGTTTGCTTAGCACAGGTTTTCAAGTGGTGGTCTCCATTAGCTTTGTTATAATTTCATTCTTTTAGTTTATTCCTTCAGTATTTCTTGTTCCTTCCTTCCTTTTTTGAGGTCTGGGTAATTTTGTAAAACCTAAATAAATTAAAAAAAAATTTTATAGTATGGTTGTAACATAAGGTGCTAAATCTTAAGTTATAGCTCAGTTAGTACGGTAATACAGTAATGAAACCACCCGTATAAAAAAAGACAGTATTGCCCAAAGCCCAGAAGCCTTCTTCACACCTCCTCCTAATTATTACCCTCCAAAGGTAACCACTTTTGGTTACAGCTTCTTTCGCTCAACATTATGTTTATGAGATTTATCCTCAGCAGTAGGTCATTCTTCTCACTGCTGTATAATATTCCACTGTATGACTATGCCACTGTTTAACCATTTTACTCTTGATGGACATTGGATTGTTTCTGCTTTTTGGCAATTATGAATACTGTTGCTATGAATTATTTATTTAGATTTTCTTTAATTACTCTCAGTAATGTCTCATAGTTTTCTGTTTAGAGATTGAGCAAATATTTTGTTAGGTTCATTCCTAGGTATTTTATATGCTTTTATATATTTTATATGCATTATGTATTATATATTTTGTATTATGTATTATATATTTTATATGCATTATGCTAATGGAAATCATATTTTAAAAATTTCATTAAAAATTTTTTTGTTTCTAATGTTTTGGGATATAATTGATTTTTTGTGTTAATCTTATATACAGTGAAGGGTATCAGAATATGCCACCCTGAAATACACCACTATGGCATAGGAATCATTTTGAGCTGAAGACAATTGAGAAAAATCAGATACAAGAGAAGCTCTCTGCCCTCCTCCTATTTGCCTAAAAGTTTGGTGTTAATTTGTAAAGGTGTTCCCTCTCCCCTCTCTACCAGGAAGGACAAAAGTTAATCACTGGAGACAACTCTAGACCTTTATCAACTCAGATACAGCACCAAAGGAATCTACATAACAAACTTTACTATCCCTTATTCTTCATTAGTTCCCCTATATATTTGCTGTCCTACAATTTGCTGCCTTAGAAACTCAGTCATTTTCCTTTGTCTTGTCACTTCTCTACAAATCTATTGTTCTTTTGTTAAGATGCTACATAAGCCCAAGTTCTAATCACCTCTTTTAAGTTACTCGTCTCTGAGTGCTCCCATATGTATGCGTGATGCACATGCTAATAAACTTCTGTTTTTCTCTTGTTAGTTTGTCTTTTGTGAGTCTAATTTACAGGGCCCTGGCCAATGAACCTAAGATGGGTGGAAGGAAAAAAGATGTAAACTTGCTAAACTTACTTTTTTGGATTTTCTACATACACAATCATGCCTCTTATGAATAATGATGATTTTATTTCTTACTTTCAAATTTTTATATTGTTGATTTCTTTCTCTTACCTTATTGCACTGGCTGGGACCTCCAGTACAGTACTGAATAGACATGGTGACAGCAGATATCCTGATCCTTGTCACATTCCTGATCTCGGGAAATCATTCAAATGTTTCACCACTAAGTGTGATGATACACTTTATCAGATTAAGGAAGATCCTTTCTGATACTAGTTTTCTTTTTTGTTGTTGAGGAAGATTTGCCCTGAGCTAACATCCGCTGCCAATCTTCCTCTTTTTGTTTTAAGCCACCACCACAGCATGGCCACTGACAGACGAGTGGTGTAGGTCTGCACCAGGGAACCGAACCCGGGAGGCTGAAGAGGAGCGCACTGAACTTAACCGCTAGGCCATCAGGGCTGGCCCTGATACTAGTTTTCTGAGAAGTTTTTTTAAAATCATAAATGGATGCTAAATTTTTATCAACTGTTCCTTCTGTATCCATTGAGGTTATCTTTTTTTTCGTTTACAGTCATGCACCACATAATGTCATTTTGGTCAATGACGGACTGCATATACGACAGTTGTTCCCATAAGATTAGCACCATATAGCCTAGGTGCCTATTAAGTTTGTGTAAGCACACTCTATCATGTTTGCACAATGAGGAAATTGCCTAGTCACCCATTTCTCAGAACATATCCCTGTCGTTCAGTGATGCATGACTGTTAAATGTAGTTAATTACATTAATTTATTTTTAAAGTTAATCTTGCATTTCTGGATTAATCCCCATTTGGTCACAATGTATTACCCTTTTTCTGTATTGCCAGATTTGACCTGATTTTCTTTTCTGTAAGGTCTCTGTTCCGTTCTGATAACAAGGCTGTGCTGACGTCAAATAATACTTTGGTAAGCGTTCTTCCTTTTTCTGCTCTTTGGAAGTGCTTGTGTAAGATCCATGTTATTTTTTATATGTTTGGAAGAATTCATCAGTGAAGCCATCTGGACCTAGAGTTTTCTCTGTGGGAAGACTTTGAATTACGAATTCAATTTCCTTTATAAAAATACAAATATCAGATGTTCTATTTTATTTTAGGTAAGTGTGGTTTTCAAGAAATGTGTACATTTTACATAAAAACTCAAATTATTTGCATAAAGTTGTTGCTATTATATCCTCTTATTATCTTTTTAATATCTGTAAGATCTGTGAAGAAAAATATTAATAATAATGGTAATTTGGGCTGTTTTTTTCCTTGATTAGAATTACTAGGGTTTATCAATTTTACTAGTCTTTTCAAAGAATAAACTTTTGGCTTCATTAATTTTTAAATATATTCATTTCTGTTTCATTGATGACTACTCTTATTTTTTACTTATTTCCTTCTACTTTATTTGCATTTAATCTGCTGGGTTTTTTTCTAGCTTTCTGAAATGAGTGCTTAGACCACTGATATTTTTAGATTATTGATTTTAACCTCTCTTCTAATATATGCATTTAAGGCCATAATTTGCTTTCTGAGAACTTTTTGAGCTATACTCCAGAAGTTTTGTGTGTCACATTTCCGTTATTATTCAGTTCAAAATATTTTCTGATTTAACCTGAGCATTATTTTAGTGCTATATTGCTTAATTTCCAAATATCTTATGATTTCCTAGTTATCTTTTTTTGTGTGTGTGTGAGGAAGATTAGCCCTGAGCTAACATCTGTCGCTGATCCTCCTCTTTTTGCTGAGGAAGACTGGCCCTGGGCTAACATCCCTGCCCATCTTCCTCCACTTTATATGGGACGCCGCCACAGCATGGCTTCACAAGTTGTGCGTCCCTGCACGCCTGGGATCTGAAGCCTGGGCCACCGCAGCAGAGCGTGTAGACTTAAACACTACGCCACCAGGCCAGCCCCCCTAGTTATCTTTTTATTGTTGATTTCTACTTAATTCACTGTGGTCAAAGAACATACCCTGTGAGACTTCAATTCTTTGAAATTCATAGAGACTCGCTTTATGGTTAGGGATTTGGTCTATTTTAGTAAATGCTTTATGTGTATTTGAAAGGAACACATAATCTGCAGGTTGATGTTGTCAAGTTTGTTAATCATGCTGTTCAAATCTTTAATATCTTTACTGATTGTTTCTTCTACCAGTTACTGAAAGACTATAT